GTTGATTGGGCATTCCCATTTGCAGAAGGCAAGTTATTTGTCCTAACTCTTAGAGCTAGCTTGGAGGGGTACCATGTGAATGTTGACGGAAGACATGTCACCTCATTTCCATATCGCCTTGTAAGTTATTTACCACTATTTAATATTCATGATCTTGTGATTTATGGGATTTTGCTCTAGTGTTTATTTAATATTTAGGGATTTACACTTGAAGATGCCACTGGATTATCTTTGAATGGAGACATTGATGTCCACTCTGTTTTCGCTGCTTCCTTGCCCACATCACATCCCAGTTTTGCGCCCGAACGAAATCTTGATTGGTCTAACAGATGGAGGGCTCCACCTATTCTAGATGGACCCATTGAACTGTTCATTGGCATTCTTTCAGCAGGCAATCACTTTGCTGAACGTATGGCTGTGAGGAAGTCTTGGATGCAGAATAGGCTAATAAAATCTTCCAAAACTGTTGCTCGTTTCTTTGTTGCACTGGTAGGTGAACTGATTAATGGAACGAATGATACAAATTCAACCTCTATCAATTCTTTTGTTGAAGGCTTTTGAATTTATTTTAAAGATATCTTTGGACAGCATGCAAGAAAGGAAGTGAATGTGGAATTAAAGAAAGAAGCTGACTTTTTTGGAGACATTGTAATAGTACCATACGTGGACAACTATGACCTTGTCGTTATAAAGACAGTTGCCATATGTGAATATGGGGTGAGTAGTGGATTCATTCATAAGTTATGGATTGAAATAAAGTTTGTAGCTTGACTGATTTAATTTTGTACATTTGCAGGTCCGAAGAGCCTCTGCTAAGTATATTATGAAAACTGATGATGACACATTCGTCAGAGTAGATGTCGTTCTTATGGAAGTGAAGAAAATACCTGAGAATAAGAGCTTGTACATTGGGAATATGAACTACTACCATAAGCCCATGCGAAGTGGTAAATGGGCAGTGACATATGAGGTACCATTACAACCTTTTGCTTCTCCATCTTTATAGTTGATTTCCTTTGTTTTGTTTGTTGGTATATGACTTATAAGCCCGTGGTCAATGCCATCTCAATTTCGGGGACGAATTTGTTACTCGAGCATTATAACGCGTTCCATTTGTTGACTCAGTTGTGTTGCTGAGCCGAGTTTCAATACAATTAGTAAAGGGCCAGTTGCCTACAAAGTTATCCATATATCTCATGTTGTTGAAGGCCAATGGATGCCATTCACACAATTAATGGCGTTAAGTAGATTTTTGTGCATCTTGTGTAGTTTACAAAACCGCCAAGGGAAATGTAGCCTGCAGGACACAGGCAGAACTACTGGGAATAAGATTTTTCATTTTCTCCATATTCTATGCAAGTATGGGGATTTTTGCACTTTTTTATTATGAAATGATAGTTAAATCCAGAACAGTTTTCTGTAGCATTAGATGCCTTATATCTGCATCATTTGAGTGGTTTTCTGGTATGTTTATTTAGACATTTTCATTGGCCGCCTATTTTGACTCTGAACTGGTTTCCTGGACATGGGGATTTTGGTTCGACTATGTACAGGATTTTTCGACACGTACTCTAAAATTGTAATAACGCTCGTTGTTGTGTTCTTTGTGGTGGTCTAGGAATGGCCAGAGGAAGTCTATCCACCCTATGCGAATGGACCGGGCTACATTATTTCATCGGACATTGCAAACTTTATTGTTTCGGACTTCGAGAAGCATAAACTACGGGTAATCTATCTTTCCTTTTTCACACACATACAAGCGTATACATGCCTCATCATCTAAAGGTTTATAACGTGCGAAATATAACTAATTTGTCGATCTGCAGTTGTTCAAAATGGAGGACGTGAGTATGGGAATGTGGGTTGAGAAATTCAATGATTCACGAGCAGTTGAGTACGTACATAGCTTGAAGTTCTGCCAGTTTGGGTGCATAGAAGATTATTATACGGCTCACTACCAATCTCCGAGGCAGATGATTTGTATGTGGAACAAATTGCAGCAGCGAGGAAGGCCTTTATGTTGCAACATGAGATGACACACTTCCAACTGCGTTAGGACGAACATATTTTGCAGTAAGCGTAAATGTTGTCGATTGGATAGATGTAATGAAGTTGTTTACATGCTCCATTAAATTAAATTCGTTTATTTATTTCTCATGTTCAAGAATTTCTCATGGCCAACTATTTGTGACTTTAGGCGACACCTACACTTGAGATTTAGGCTAACTATAATCCTAGAACGTGTCCTTGAATTTCCATTGCTTCCACATTCTTCAAACCTAACTTTGAACATTTTTATTAGCACTTTGTAGCCACACTTTCATAATTATGCTACCATTTGGTGGGAGATTAATTAGATTTTTAGTAAATTTTGATAAAAGTTTATGAGATGTGATTAAAAAGTTGTGAATCTAATAAAACGTGTAGTTAAAACTTTTTGTTAGCTTTGACATTTAGCCCTCGGTTGATTTTTATTCTTCAGCCACAAAAATGAAAAATAAAATATGATCGTTATCTATCACATCAAATCACTATATTTGACTTTCTATTTCTTGTGTGGGTCCCGTAACGACTATATATATATATATATATTTTTTTTTTTAATTCTTACAAAAATGAGTACCAAACGGGATCTTCGATTTTAATCTTCCTCAAATTGGAGCTATATCAATAACTGGTCGAATTTTGAGATCTTTAATTTTGGCTCATGATGTGGTTTTTATTTTTTTTTTTTTTTATTATGCAAATAAATGAAAGTGTGTGTGTGTGTGTGTGTGTGTGTCAGAACTCGTTTTTAGATAATACTTTTGGTTTTTTTTCTTATTTTTTAAAATTATATTTATATTTATATTTTCTTTTTCCCTTTTTCTTATTTTTATTTTTCATAAATTTAGCCTTGTTTGATTTAGATAAAATCAGTTATTAATAGATTTTAGTTAAATTATAATCCAAAATTTTTAATTGAATCCAACATGAGCTTAATATCGTGTCTTTTAAATGTGCCACATTTTAGTTAAATTATTTGTTGCCAATTAGACGCGTGACTACGATTTTCATTGGTCAGACTAATCTATATAAAACTAATAACCAATAGTGACAATACCTAATCTATAGTTATCAAAATATTGAACTACATTTTTTATTTTTATTTTTTAAACAAAAGAAAATCGTCATCATATTTTACAGCAGGTAGTCGTCTAAATCTATCATCGCTGGAAACTTCTTCGCCCATCACCGGAAATTCGAAACAGAAGTCCTTGTTCTCTGGCAGTAGAGGATCCAAGCTACCTAATGCCTCTTGCATGTCGTCCATCAAAGGATCTTCAACTTTTTGCTTCTGGTTTGCATGTGGACAGTTTTCGACCAATTCCTCGTTGATTCTTGGATTTTCACCACCTCTCATGGCTGTTCCAATTTCATCTACGAACCGCACGACTGGCTGATCCCTTGGTGCCGTCAAGATTTTCGTTGTCTTGCAAATCACGTAATCCTTGCTCGTATGCTCATTCAAAGAAACACCATCCAGGGCCGAGGGAGTACTCGTGCATAATCCAATGTCTGTGATTTTTCTTTATTACATCTGAGTCTATCTTTGCTTCGAAACTCAACATTTTGCTGGAGCCGATTATCTAACCATTGCAGTTCTTGATTATTTTAGCCCCGGTTTGGCCATCCCATGTCCCGCAATTGGCTCTTCTTTCAGTTCTTTTCTTGCCAAATTTCAACAACTTGGTAAAAACATATAAAGTCATTTTCATACTCTTCTTTCGATCTTTATCCCTTGTTATTGAAATATCCCAAGGATCATTGTGGCTGAACACATTCCATGGAGTGGCATTCTCTCCATAAAGATCTCTTTCCACGATGCTACAGTTCCATGGCAATGGCAGGTTTTTCGCCTTTTTCTCGAGGTAAAAAAGGATGAGTTCTTTATCTATAGGATAAAAACGATACCCTGGAGGAAAATTCATCTTAAATGTTACTGATTTCTTCGCTCACAAAAAGGTTTGGGTAGGGGATGTTTAGAGAGAATGATTCAAATGTGTTTACATAGGGGATGTTTAGGAAGAATATTGATTTGAATGTTGCCTTGGGTTATTTATAATGTGAGCCAAAGATCCTAGCCCCGGTCTTAGCGTGATTTCAACATATAACCTTTTTACACTAATAAAAATTGACGCCATTGGGTGAATAATGACTTCCTTTTTGCCTAGAAGATGTATTAACTAATAATTGCAATTTGAGTTATATAAGAGCCGTGTAAGCCGATTAAACTTCTAGCCTAATGATTCCAGACGGGTAAGATTCCCAATCTCTTTCAGGATGGTATTTGTTGAAGATGAAATACGCAACCAATAGGATGTTTGTGCTTAAAAGTTACTTTATTTTAACTTAAATACTATTAAGCGCACTCTAAATATGTTACATCTCTAACAATTTAAACTATTTTTAGACTTCTAGATTATGAGATATTTCAACATCATATAACAAGCAAAGGTCTATAGATCATGTCTACCTGCCAATCATTTACAGAATTGTGCACGTATCAAATTTTCGATAAAAAATATGGATATGCCTTGCACAAGAGGGAGCGTGTTGAAAGTACAAGAATTCAATGTGCCTCTGTCTAAATTTTAGATGAGATGGTTCCACTTTACCTGTAAGAATATTATAACTCAGAAGCATGTGTTTGAACAATTTTAAGGTTCCAAACCAGGATGATATGCTTCAATTGAAATTGTTCGACGCCAAATGTATGGATGTAAACAAATTAAAATCACATGATCAATTTTGTCTAGATATTCAATTGCATACTTAATTTAAAAATGTGTTCATTTTCCCCCCTTAATTCCTCATTGCATTTAGATGTTAATTTTGAAAAGTTCTTACACCACTTGAAAGTTTAGATTTAGCTAATTTATTTTAACCAAATGTGCAGAATTATACAATTAAAAGCAAAAAGTGACTTTTTAATTGTTTCTAAATGATTAATCAATCCCGTCAAATTATTTTATGGTTTGAATGCCACAAAACAATAATATGAATGTAAAAAACAAAACAAAATATGTTGATAGAGAAAATCCAAGTGGGTAAAAATTTCAGGATTAAGTCAGCAACCTCTACTATAAACAATGTGAACTTACAGTATGATCTAGCCTAGAAAACCCGCTAGATTTACTTATCTAATTCTTGCAATCTCTAAGACCTACTGGAAAGTGCTTCACTTACATTTATTTTCGATCTTCTGAAATTGTCTATCTCCTATGGATCACCAAGGTTACCTTGTTCTTGTACTATTCTTGTGCTTTTGGTCTAACATCCCCTAATCTTCAGCAATCTTTGAAAGCTATTGATAAAGTACATTCTTGTATGTGTATAGGAAGTGAGTGTGAACTTGATATTTTTCCTAAAGTTGTGGTTGTACGAACTCAGGAATCAAAGAATTAATCTAAGGCTTGATTGTGTTCTTGAATATTTGAATGATGTTATAAAGGAAAAATGTATTGAACAACCACGCACAAGACGTGTTAGGGAAGAATTTATGAATCAAGTAATATGTCGTAGTTGAATCTTGGAAACAATGAATGTTTTTCATCATAAAAGAATTGATCTCTATCGAATAGACCTGATTCAACACTTTTGTGCATCCCATAGGGTGTATATTTATAATGGGTAGTGTTTGGGATGAAAAGGGATTGAAAAACTAAGTGTTTATCGTAAAACAGATTTCTAAATGTCGTCCCGTCGCTTGAACGCCACGTTAGTGATGTCTAAGTAGTCGTTGGTATTTTCACCACAACTTTTTCTCCTGATATCGGATTGCGTTGATTCAAAATGTGTTAAAAAGCTGATTCAAAGAGTTATAATTCCAGAATAACATTGTCCAAATTTCAATGTTTTCTATGTGAAAAATGCATTGTAAGTTATGATTGAGAATTTGGAACCAAAATTTTTCTGCTCTTTGACACTTTTTAGAATTTTAATTGCATTCTCTTGATTACATGTGAACGTTTTGGACATTTTGGGCTCCTTCAAAGACTATATTACCAATCCCAACTCTTTTAACTTTACTTAGGATTCAATAACTCCTATTTTGACTTTGATCACAACTCGATAAAACTTCTAATATAATTTAATCAGGACATGATTTTGTCTACGGAATTGCCAAAACAATATAAATCCTAACAAATTTAATTAAAAATTAATTATATAGAATATTTAGTTCTTGAATAATTATGAAAATAAACTATTGTAACTTTCAATAGGAAATTGATATTTAAATAAATGAAAAATAAATGACTAATTAACGTGAAATGAATGTGTAAGCAGCGTAAATTAAGTATTTTTAAATGTATAAGATATTTTAATTCTTTTTTATTATGTAATTAATGCTAATTTCTAATTGAATCAACTTGATATAATAGTTTGTGGTTTGGTTTATTTATTTATGATAATTATAGTTTGATTACCATTTCAATTGAACAGATATTTTTAAAATAAACTTAATTTTCGTCTCATATATGTAACTTATTTTTTTGACAACTGCACCTTCAAATACAATCAACACTGTAACATTATACTCTATTAGTTCTTTTTTTTTTCCGTAATATATTTAAGTTTCAGTATAAGATTTAAGACATTTAAGAATATTTACACTTTAAAATATGATAGCGGTAACATTACATCTGAATGTGACGTAATTGAATACTATAAATGCAGCCAACGCGTGCATTCAAGAATGCGCTAGGACTACCTGATGGACGCCTGAGTGTTTGAGAAGCAAAAGGGTGGTCAGCGGTTTATAAAATTGTTTAGGAATGTATGCATCAGAGTTGGCAAAACTTTGAAGAGATTTGTGAAAGATTTTAGAAGTATAGAGAGAAATTTGTTGGATTGTTCTAGAATAAAGTAGAGAGATCAAAAGGATTTTGTAACTAATAAGATATTATTATATAAGAAAAATTGTTGGATGTTCTAGATGTCCCACTCAATAAGATATAAGAAAATTGTAATAGTTAAATAAAAGTTTTAAAATAAAGAAGAGAAATCAAAAGGAGTTGGTAATAAGGACTAACATACCTAGGTCCTAGGTGGGCAATTGCCCGCACTGGATTTTTTTTTTTTTTTTAATATTTTTATACATTT